TAGATGGGGGGGGGCTGAGAGCTGAGGGGAGGGGAGTGGGGGCTAGTGGTTGGGGGGGCTGTACCCTCCCCCACATCTGTCTCCCCCCTGCAGGATGCGGACGACCCCCCGCTGCGCTGCTTCCACCCCGCCTGCCCCCTGGCTGCCCACCCCGCCTGCCTGGCGCGGGAGTTCCTGCGGGAGGAGCCGGAGCAGTTCCTGCCCGTGGAGGGGCGCTGCCCAGGGTATGGGGCCCCGGGGGATCCCCTGGGGGAGGGGGGATCTCCAGGGAGGGCAGCGATGGGACGCAGTTGCCCAGGGCAACATCCTCAGCATGTTGCCGTGGCGACCCAACTCCCATGGTGAAGGCCCCCCCATTTCCTGTTGCAGCTGCAAGAACCTGCTCCTGTGGGGCGACTTGATTCGCTACCACCAGGGTTGCTATGGTGACTTGGAAGAAGTCCTTGCCTCCTCCCAGGTAAGCCCCGCCCACTTGCTGCTAAGCTCCACCCCTAGTGTGTTCCCCTTTGGCACAAGAGCCCCACCCATTGTGTGGGCCCATCGGGCTTCCCTCTTCTGTCCCCGCCCCTCTTGCCTTTAACCCCACCCCCTTCCCTGTGCCTGCCTCTCTGGCTGCTAAGCCCCTCCCTGACCACGCCCCCTCTCGCGGGTAAGCCCCTCCCCATTCTCTCCCCTCCCCTCCCACAGTGTCTTGCAGCTAAACTCCTCCCCTTCTCAGGCAGACAAACCCCTTGTAGCCCCCCCCTTAGGGCAGCTAAGCCCCTCCCCCTCATCCTGTCCCCGCCCCCTCACGGGGAAGCTCCTCCCTCTCTGACCCCCTTCTGCCCACAGGGACACTGGACAGAGGAGCTGCAGACCTGAAGACCAGCGGGGAGGAGCCTGCGCCGGAGGGGGCGGGGCAAAGGGCCGGTCCCCTTTGCCCCACCCACCGGGACGATGGACCCGCCCCCTCCCGGATCCCGGCGGCCCAGGGGTTAATTATGGGATTACATGAAATAAAAATCCCAGGAGATTCGAGTCCCGGCTCTGCCTGACACTGGGGGAGGGGGGGACCCAGGTGGCCGGGGAGGGAGCCCAGCAGGGGGGACAAGGACGGGGGGGGGGGGGGGGGGGGGGGGGGGG